AAAAGACTATACTCTTAATAATAAAAACTGGACGTCGGGAGTGTAGCTCAGCGGCACAAGTGCCTGCTTGGCAAGCGCAAGGTTCTGAGTTCAATCCCTGTACAAAAAAAAAAAAGTCCTCCTCATGGTAATGGTTTGCACTGCCATTGTTTGATTGTCCACTTTTTATGCTTTGATTTTGTGACTTGAACAAGTACTTCTAAGATAACAATAAGTAATTTATCAACTAGTGATTTCTTATGTTTTAAAATTCTGTATTATTTCTACCTTCTTGTTTTACTTTTTATCTCTAAAATAAAGAAAAGAATAAGAACTAGTAATATGCCAGTCTTTACAAATAACAGTGCTCAAATTTGAGTAAATTCAGTGCCTTATAAATTTAAGAAACCTGTCATATTCTAACTACCAAATCAAAATCAAAACCAACTCTAACCAAACCAAAACAAATAAAATATTCTCTGGAGAGAAAAACATTCTCTGCAATTTCTAAAGTGCATTTTACTATTTTATAAATAATGTCCACCATTTGATCAAAAATTACCTGGAATAAAAGGATATGACAAATGGATGAAAATCTAGAGAGAAAAAAAAAAAAACCAGATGATAGCAATAATGCATAGAAAAATCTAGAATACTGAAGTCACTGGCCACAAACTTTAAAAGAACCACCATTAATATATTCAAGGAAGTAGAGGATAATTGACTTCATCTATAATGTAACCCACAGAAGAAAAAAAAATGACTAGTATGAAACGAATAGCATATAATTGAAAAATACATTAAAGCAAATGGGGAAAAATTTAGATTAGTTTTCTTTTTTTATGTTTGGGCTTCATCCTAAGTTTGCTACATCTTTGAAGTTAACTAAACAATTGTGTAAAAAAGGGACCTAAAAGGGCCTAAAAGTTAAAATAGAATTTAAAATCTTTGGTTGAATAATATAAAGCTATAATCTGGAAGAGATAACTATTTAACAGAATGTATATTTCTCTGTACCAATCTCATTATAGAAAATACCTAGACAATGGTGAAGAAACTCAATGCTATGAGCAAATCCAAATCCAAATCTACTCTTTACCTAGCATCATCTAACCAAATTTTGTTTAAAGGAGCATTATCAGTGTATATAATGCCATTTTTATTTTTCAGAAGTATTTCTATTGATGAATTTTTAATTCTAGCTCTATGATTTCTAGTATGTTAAACAATGTGTACTTAACACGGAAATAAAATATCAGTAGAATAAATTAGTAAATTTTCAATATGTAATGAATGTGTAGGATAAACGTCAATTTTTCAACATCAACCATCTTTTGTTTGCTTTTGTATGTCTTTTTTTTTTTTTTTTTTTTTTTTTTTTTTTTTTTTTTAATGAGGCAGGATCTTTCTATGTGGCTCAGGTTGGCCTTGAGCTTGCAGTGATCTTCTTTCCTTAGCCTCCTGAGTACTGGAATTACAATTGTGAACCACCACACCTGGCTTTACTATCAATCTTATATTATTATCTTATATTATTGATATAGTATAGTATCATCTTATATTATTGATAGCATCAATATTACTGTTTTTCTTCTCCAGAATGTAGTTCAGGCTAGCCTGGAACTCATTGTGCAGTACAGGCTGACCTTGACCTCATAGAGTCTTTCTGCCTCAGTCTTCTGAGTGTTGGGGTACAGGCATACACCATCCAGCCAGGCTTCACTATCAATCTTATCATCATGGTGTAACATTGACAGTATATTCTGAAGCCCAAAGATTGTAATATACATTTCTCTATTGTGAACTTGCAACATTTTTTTCAAGAATGTCCACTTTGTTCTTGTGAATAGTTCTTGTGCTGGTCTACTGTAGCATTTTTAGCAAATGTAAGTCAGTGGGCAATTCATGAACCAATTGATGAATGTGACATATCGTTTTCTGCAGTAGGTGCCAAGTCTATTCACAATGTCATACAGCTTATTACTCTATGAAAAAGACCTGGAGGCTGAGTTCCAGGGTAAATTTCTAAATTCAAGGTATAAAATGTCTTTGCATCTATCCGGGCATGTGTTTTTAAACACTATTTGGAAGGTTTATTTGGCATATATTGCTGAAACAACCACAAAATGGGGCAAGTTGTTTGTCAATTGTCATGTATTCAGAAGATTTATAAATTACTTGGCAGTTCAGAACAAAGCTTTTAAAAATGAATGAATGAATAGCAGTGGAATTGTCAGATTTTGCTTTCTTGGTGGATTTTTTTTTCATCAAAATGTAGGCAATTTTGAAAGAAACAAAACCTCTTGAGTATCATTTTTGTTCTAAAAATCTCAGTGCCACATCTGCCACTTCTCCATGAATGATTTAGATTCTGACAATTAGAATGACAAAGTCCTACAATGAAGGCTTTTAATTCAGATAGTGAGATGTTATAATAAATATTTTTGGTGTTACTACTGATGAATATAGAATTACAATTTTATAAGAATATATAATACATTATATAATAATTATGTAATAATGAAATTAAATTTCATTAGCAGCATTAGCAGCATTTAAACCATCTTGTAGTCCATCATGCATCATAAACAGTTTCCAACAGTTAATTGCAATGCTGGCATTCTGTCTAATAGGTTTCACCCTTGGCAAGAACCTAGTCATGTTTTTTGAACTAGTTCTAACAGATTGCTCAGGTAGATATATCAATTGTGTAGTATTTTGACTAGTCAAATATTCATTTACATTACTGTTTTCTTCCTCATATGAATCAAGTCTTCACTCTGCATATCTCTATCTGTCACATCTTGTTAACTTGTTTGGCTTCCATGATTCAGATCATTATTGGTAGCTGAATCATCTGATGACTCATTTTCAATCTCCTCCCAAAGTTGTAAAAGCAAATTTTTATGTGACATTGTACTGAGTTGGGCTAATTATACAAGTAAAATCAAAAGAAGACATGTAATAAAAATTATAAATGCAAAAATGTAGCATAGTGTTCAGTGTGGGTAAAACTGACCCATTTATACTTTGGTATGTGTGTACACACCTTGTTGTTTGTGGTACCATGTTGGTGAATACAATCATTGATTCCTGTGTTGACCCAGAGTGGTTATGGAGGCGTACAGCCTGCGACCATTGTGCTAAAGTATATATTTTCATTGGAAAAGTATGGCCAGCATGTATTTTACCCACCATTATGCAGCATTAGTACTTCTCAACTCAGTGTCATTACAAACAAGAATGTTATCAGAAGTGAAAATGAATTTTCCAATTTATTGTTCATGAACGTAAGTGCTGCTGCCAAATGACTGTATCAGTAAAACAATGGGTTTGGAAATCAGTTCAGTGTTAGTACAGGCAACTGCAACACTAAAAGTTAATAAGAGAAATATAATTAAATACTGGAAATAGTCATATGAAGGCAATGCATGCATTTTGATTCAATAAATGTATGTCATACACTACTAACTTTAATCTTTAATGTATGACATTTACTGTACAATCTGCTCAGTAAAAAAGGTTGAGATGCCTTGAAATCCCAATTTAAGGTTTTTACCTCTGTCGGATAGATGTGTTAAAGACTAACATTCTGCAATATTATTCTGGGACTCTAGTAATACACTCGCTCACAAAGGAAACTAAAAATGAAGGAATCCTTTTAGAACTATATTTTCTGCTTCCAGTGAGTGTGACACAAGACTATGCTCTAGGTAAAGCAATATAGAGCAGAACACATCCTATAAAAAGTCCATTTACATTATTGCCCCAACTAAGAGAAAAAAAAAAAAAAAACTCCTTGTAGAAAATTAAATAGAAGAATCTGATATAGTTTTTAGATTTTAGAGACTGGTTTATTTTTCTGGAATTTATCCCTCACTAGAATCTAGTGATAGCAAACCTTTTAGAGCATTCGTTGATAATGAACAGCTGCAGCACGCATGCTGTAAGAGTTTGCCACCACTGAACCTGGATTTGACCAAAGTGAATCCTTTCTTTATTATCAATATTTTGTTTACAATCAGGTATTCATCTCCCAAAAGGAGAGATAATCTCTCAACTGAAAATAAGATACGAAGTTGGTATTATTATAAATCTCCATTAACCCTTGGGTTAATAGCACCCATTATTAATTTATATTGTCAGGATTTCTCACATAACTACTGACTTCTTAAATCAGTACATCTGTAGGCCTTGGAACTTTATTCCTATGTTCTTTGTGAAATAGACTTTAATCACACTGTCAACAGAGTTTGAAACCAAACACAACACATAAGCATTCTGTAAATGTAAGGCTAACATTTAGGAAATTTTCATTGTTTACTTTGTCAAATTACTCAAATGAAACAAGTCATAAATTTAAATTCCCTTATTCTTTCTGCCACCAAGCACTCTCATTAATCATTCCTATCAGACTTTAAAAAACATTAGCCAAAGGGAATGCAGACATAACTGTCTTAGAACTCTCAATATTGAGTCACTGAGCTATCCCAGTTTCTATGTTTCCTAACGCTTGTGGAGTCAGAACCAGAAAATGTCACAGAAATCATTGAGGTCAGGGCTGGGGATTTAGCTCAGCGGTATAAGCGCCTGCCTTGCAAGCAGGCAGATGTGAGTTCGATCCCTGGTACTGGTAAAAAGGAAAAAGACAAAAAAAAAAAAAAAAAAAAAAAAAGAGATCATCGAGGTTATAAACAGAAAAAAAAAGATTTAGACACAGATAAGAAAATCTTTCAAATCAGAGTTTTTAAAGTGTTCTTTTACTATAACTATCCCATAACCTTATAAAATTATTGGATCATAATACAAATGCTATCAGAGTACAAAATAAAACCAAATCCCCCCAAATTAAACACCAGTGCAATCCAGAACATAAAAAGATTTTTTTAAGTGAACGAAATCAATTGACAAGAACAGTACATGAGGTTCATTCCTGAAGAACCCTGCACTTGACATCTGAAGTAAAGATCATGGTCATGATCAAGGACACGGCATAGGGCAATCACCCATATATGACTTACTTCTTTGTATCCGAAGATGATGCGTCCATCGATAAGAAGAGTTGCCTGGAACGTGAAGCTTCCCAGGTTGTAATTATCCTGGAGATGCACATGGTCCCACTGGACAACCAGGGCTGTGCCTAGTGGGAAAACGAAGAAATGCAATGAGAAAAAATACAATCAATTTGTAGGACCATTGCTCTGGCCTTCAAAGCCAGGAGTTGTGCTATTTCAGTTTTATGTGGTCAATCGCAATTCTAGTACTGAAATAACATTAAGGATTGTTTTTAAAGGATTGAATATTCTCTAAATATTTGGCGAAAATCTAACCTCATATTGAGGTTAATATGTAGCCAACCCATTGTGGGGGAATTTTGCCTTAGGAATTTCATTAATGTTAATGTGAACTTATCTGCTTAAATTTCCATGAGCCACTTTCAAAATGCAGCTCAGGTGGATTGAATGAACTTCAAATCCTTTTGACAAATGCCTAAAAAGGAACACATTCAAAAAACCAAGGCCCACTGTAAAAGATCTGGAAATGTCTTTTCCATACTTATGAGTTATATTCTTCCACACTGAAGAAGTTCCATTAACACTAATGGCAATTTTCTTCTTTGATTCACAATGCCTGCATTTCTGTCTTTTGTTTTATGGCTTCCAGAAAGCTCCAAAGTAACTTGAAGAGCCCTCGGCTAGGATTTCTGAAGCCTCCTTCAAGTGCACTGGGGTGAATCTGCAGGCTGTGTGCTAAATTCTGATGTCTCAATCTCCAGTGTTTATTTACTATGAAACTATTAACATGAAATGTAAGTTAAAAATAGTTTCATAGTCAAACCACCAATGAATATTCATATTTCTATGTAGATGACACTGCGTATTCTCTATTTTTTTTTTTTTTTAAAGAAAGCAAATCAGCTAAGGTTTTTGCTTAGTTTTAAGAGTTGAATTTTTCTCTTTGGTTAAAACAATCTTGTTGCCAAAAAGTTGTGTTAAAAATGAAACACAGAATTAAAAGACCAAAACTTACCTTTTGTAGGAAGTATATGATTTTAAAAAATCACTATCATGAGGCAAAATATTTTCAGCAAGCATTTTTGTTGTTAATAATGTACAAAAATTCTTGTTGATAACTTTAAATATATTGTTACTTTAAATATTTTGAATATCCAGTTGTGAATCTTTAAGGGTCATTAAAATATAGAGATGTACAGTATTTCCTTGAAGGAAAAATGGAAAAGTTAAATAAATGGTACTGAACTTGATCTGAGTGCTTTCAGCCAGAAGAAACACCACATAGTCTGGCCAAGGAGAAAACCCAAGTTTCTTCCTCCCATGGGCATGTTCAGGTCTACACTACCATTTCTTTTAAGATAGAAAAGGCTAAGAGATAATACTAGCCAGGAAACTGCCCATAATTCTCTAATTACAGAACATTTTGTATATGAAATGTACAGCTTTGTGGTGCAGTGGAAGCAAGAGCTGGATGGCAGAAGGTCTAGACGAGGCCCTGCCTCGGGAATCCACCTGAGTAAGGCTGGCCGCAGCTCACCCCCAGGAACCTGCTCCCTCCAGGCCTCTGACACTCAGTGAAGCTCTTCATTAAATATAAGAATTCTACGTAAATTAGCCAAACATTTTAATGTACATTCTGATGAGGCTATTGCTGATACTATAGCGTTAGCAAGTTTTAAAAAACACCTGTTTATAAATGTTAAGTTTTATATTCTGTTATTGTATAGCTCCTCCAACATTTGTTGGTTTCTTTTTTTTTGTCTTTTTCGTGTTTATCGGTACCAGGGATCGAACTCACGACTGCCTGCTTGTAAGGCAGGCGCTTATGCCGCTGAGCTAAATCCCCAGCCCCCATTTGTTGGTTTCAATGCTCTTATGCAATATCAATAGAAAGATTATTGAGTCTAAATATTCCCATTAAATTTTCAAGTAAGCTAAATATTTCTATTCTATGTTATCAAAGAAACATCATTTCAAGCTTCATCACTTACTAGTTATTGCTAGAATCTAAAACTTCTGAGTGGCCTTCAGAGATAAATGCTTGTTCTGTAGTATTTTTGTAATCATTTCCCTACTCAAAAATATTGATTCCAAGCAATGCACAGAATGGGAAACAAATAGGTAAGTGGACCAGAAAGGCACTTTCCTTGGAAAACTATGATGTAAGAAAATATGTGACTAAAAGAAAACCACGGGCTGAAGAAATGAACCTATGTTTCCAAAGAGCTGGGTGGTCCACCTCTAAGCTGTTTCTCTATGTTACCTGAGAACACAGATCAGACCACAAGAGTTGGCTAAATCGTGGTACTGTAACAGAATTTCCTTAACCATAATCAAGTCTCCTGATTGGTAACTGATGCCAATTCTTTATCTTCAAAACAAAAGCAGAACTAGAATGAACTGATGCTACTTAACATCATTAACGACTCCAAATTTTCTGATTTAAACTTGATCAGGTTTCTGATTCTGTTTTCTGATCGCTGCCAAGAGTTACATTACATTGTTTCTTCTTTATGAGCCATCAAATTAGTTTTCTAGTAAAAGTGGTTACTTTTATAGCTTTGCCATTTTTTTGTGTATTAATATTCTGTGACTAAGTTAAGACACATTACCACTCAGGCAAGTTACAACTTTCCAGACATCAACTCATTTTACAAACCTAGTGTTTAAATTCTTATAGAAATATTACCATAAAAGAAATAGTCTAACCTGCTGCTGTCTCTAGAGATGTTTTGTTTTCTAAAATGCTACTTAGCATCCTTAAGTACTCTGTCAGTGATCCTAACCAACCAATGTTGAGAATATTTCAGCATATTGCTGAAACAGGACTTTGTGAAGAGTCTTACGGTATTAGAAAGTGTCTCATTTATTAAATATATACACCAATTACTCATCATTCATTATTATATTGTAGGAACTCAGTATTCCCATTAGCCATTAACAGGAAACATTTAATAAGGTAAAAATAGAATTCCTTAGTATTAATAAAGTCCTAATTCTTAGGAGTTAAACACACATGTTTATTTTTAACTTATTCATTCATTGACCACTTATTGTGGATCTTACTGCTTATCAAATACCTTTGCCAAGAAGTGGAGATAGTTTTCTCATCAGAGTAATAGCTTTAGTTTCAAAGAATTGAGGTCCAGATAAAAATATATGTATAAATTCATTTAAAATCATTTAAAAATTCATTGAAATAAGAGTAAGTTCAAATACTGAGATATCTAAGAAGAGAGTATATGAGAAAATGGATGAGGAGAAAGTTATCAAGCATGTTTTATGATGATTCTGATGTTAGTAATATGAAAACTTGTTCATCAGAATCTTGTGTTCGTGAGTCAATGTCCCTAACATTGAATAAGTGAGAGGGCTTAGAAAATGATCAACTTTCATTAAATCATTTCTTAATTACTTAGAATAGGTTCCTAAAGTGATTCTGTATGAGCAAGCATAGAGTATATGCTCCATGTAAAATTTTCGTAGGACTTGTGACTCAAATATACTTGCTATCCACTTGTATATTCATATGCATTATCATTTTAGGAGTTTGAACTAAAAACAATGTAAGGATAGAATATATAAATTCTTAGTATAATAGGTTGAAACTATTATGGCTAATATTTACATTTACATTTTTTGATGTGGTTCAAATTGTATAACATATACTATTTTACACATAATTTCTTTTCTTTAGCTAAGATACAGTTTTCAATAAGATGTAGAAATAAAAAGAATGTGTGCCTCCAAGACCTTGAATTTGTCATTTGGATTTTATATAATAACAAAACAATTATTTTTATTATTGGCAGTTTGAGAGTGGAATCTGTGGCCATCACACTGAGTGAAATCTCCAGCCCTTTTTTAAAATTTTGAAACAGGGTCTTGCTAAGTTTCTAAGTTGCCCAGGGTGAATTCAACTTTGTTATCTTCCTGCATCAGCCTCCCAGAGTGCTGAGATTTTCTTATTTGTCTGTTAATGGCATTTAATAATATATTTGAGGTTTCACTATTTTATATTTCTTCTTCAATATAGGGATAGATTGTCATCAGTACATGTGACAAACCTAAATGGGGATCTGCTTAGTATTTTGAAGTCAGAAAATCTTTAGTTTCTTATGCATATGTTAAATATGTACTATGTTACATTTTTTAAGTGTTTTCATCTAATGGATAAATAGAGTTCATGAGTTCTTAATATCAATATATGATACTAGCCTCCATTTAAAAATCAGAACTAGCAAAACTATTGTAGATTTTAAATAGATAATTTTTCAAAGTAGGATTCAATAAATATGTTTGTTTTGCTTGAGGTGCCATCTTCAACAACTGTTTTTCCTTTTTATACAGTTACTGAATAAATGAGTGAGTGTCATCTGACCATGTGCTTTTATGTCATCTTAACAGTTAATGGTATGCCTCGTTTCGGGAGATTTGCAGTTTACAAAATTAATTTGGCCACCAACTTGCAAGAGAAACCCAAAATCTTACAGAAATGTTAACATGAATCTCACACTTGATGTTTAAAAATTTGTATTCAACAAAGCAAGCCAATCAATACATACCATTATCAAAATACCTGACTGTTGAATTTCTGGATACGCTGGGATCAAAATTTGCCATTAGAGGTGCGATGTACTGTGTGGCTGTTAGCATTCGATGCACAACTTCTCCAGTGTATATAAAACCTAAAATTAGGAAAGTAAGACCCACATTACGAAAAAGAAGCCTTGTTGGGTGTGGGGGAATACATAAGTAATGCTAGCACTCGGAGGCTGAGGCAGGAGGGTTGCTGAGATTTAGAGACCAGCCTTGGCTAAAACCAACATTAAAAAAAGACAAAGAGGCCCAGACAAAATTGTCATTAAAATATCTCAACTCAACTGCAGTCATATTTTGAAAATATCATAGCAGTTACATTTTTAAAAAAGGAAATAATATCCTAATGTCTGATTAATAACATTTGGATTGGATTAGGTAACAATTACACAATTTGATATTACTGTGCAGACTGAAAATCAGAAATGATATATACAAGTCTAATTTTGGTTTCCCACTTTTCAGTGACTATTATCCAGAAAAAAAATAATTAGGCTGAAAAATACTAAGACAGTTTTATAAGAAACTCAAATATACAATTTTTTATTATTAGTCCTTTATTATTTTAACATTAGCTAGCATGCAAGTCTTTTTTACAAGTGACTTTATTTTGAAGGTATTTATTTGAATTTTGTTAAACTGTGAATTTAGTGTAGGACATTTTAGAAATGGTACATGCTAAAATGGAACATGCTAAAAGGGAGAATGTTTTCCATTCCTTTTATTTGTTTTTAATTGAAAGAGGACTAAACACCCATGGGGAAGCTTTCAAATTTCTCAGATTGCTAAAGCCTTTATAATAGTAGAACTCTATCAAGAAGATAAAGTCTATATGTTTTCAGATAAAATGGTAAAATACTGACACTGTACAAATGTGTGTCTATTAAGAAAGTTAACCTGGCCAGTCTATTCTAACAGTTGGAAAATGAGAGGAATTTACTACAGAGGTCATGGGCTTTTGAATTAACTTTCAACAGCTCCTATGTTACTACTCTAACCCATTTTCAATTATTCACACTAGGTTTATTTACTTTGTGGACTAACCATGACAAATTGTTAATCCTACACTGGCTCCTTGCCTCCAAGGTCTTTAGCTGCCTGACAGAAGAGCCAGCTCAGGGAATGCTAAGTGGTTTAAATATTAATCTATGAAATGCAAAATAAAGAATAAATATGCAAATGGCATATCTAATATTATAAAATAAAATGCAAAGCAAATTCTTTGTACTATGCAATTGTCATCAGGCAATTATGAGTTAACTAAGTATGAGGGTATTGATCATTGTTTTCCACAAGAGTTAATAAAACATAAAAGATTTTTAAAAACTCATACAAAATTTCTGTCATATTTAAATCTCAAATTAGTATCATCTCACTTATTTAAATAAAGATTTTATAGGTGTACTGTGTTTATTTCTTCAAATTCTGAATTGTAGTTTTAAAGAAAACTATTGTTGAGTGAAATCTGTAGTAATTTACAGATTTAGTAAATTTTTTTAATTTATTGAAAGATCTTAGAAGTCATTAATAAGAGACATCATATAAATATGGTTATTATTTCTATTATATTTCTGTGTAGATTTTCAATCATATCTTTAATGTTCAAATTCTAATACCACAATTTTAAAATTACGAGCATAAAAAGTGAGTATTTTCAGGGATTTATGATTTATTCTTATCCTCACTGAGATGCATTTAAAATTTCATTATGAAAAATGGATATAAAATTCTGTAGTCATAATATTTAAGTAAAATGTTTGAATTGAACTCTGAAAGATTTCTTTCAGAGTGAATGATTTCAGGTAATTATAGCCCTTCCCTGTATCTCCCTGCACTTATAGGAGAAATTGCTTAACTTAGAATACAGAGGGCAGTAATTCAAGGCAGGAAGATAATTTTAAATCAATGCAAAATCCACTCTCAAAAACAACTACATAAGAAACACAGCACTAATTCCTACAAATAGAGAGTTACAAAACTTTGGGTCACTGATGATTTCAGATACTGAATTCTTTTTGTTTTTTAATTAAACAATTTTTGACACATAATGTTTGCATGCATTTATGAATATCATGTAATATTTTGATTCATGCATATACTGTATTGGGCAACGATCAACCCAGAATAGCTAGCACATCCATCACAATAAGCATTTATGATACATTTATATTGATTATGTAAAAAATCTTCATTTAACCATTTTGAGAAGGACAATGAACTATTGTCAGTTTTATTCACCTGTGTCACAGAACTCCAGAATTTCTGCCTTCTATACGCTGTAAGCTTACCTTGACCAATCTTTCGTCATCTCCTCTTCAGCCTACACTTCCTAACCCTGGCAATCGCTGTCTATGCTCCACTTCTCTAGACCAACCGCTTTAGAGTCCACATATGATAATTATTATTGTTAATATCTAAAATAAGTATGATACACACATGAATTCCCCACCATTTCAACATCGATCCAGCAAGCCATCATTCTGTTTTCTGTGACCCAATTTTCAGATTATAGGGACAATTAGCTGCTGTTCCCTGTTTTTAGGAAAAGTTTTCCAAAACTATGATTACTCATCTTTCGAAAATGAAGTTTCACGTTTTTCCCAAAGAACCAAGTTAAAATAGGGGAAGATTTGTCAATAGTAAGGGATATGGTTACAGGGTAGGGATATAGCTCAGTAGCACAGCGCCTGTGTGTCAGGCGTGAAGTTGTGAGTTCCATCCCAGGTACAGAAAAAAAAAGAAAGAAAGAAAGAAAGAAAGAAAGAAAGAAAGAAAGAAAGAAAGAAAGAAAGAAAAGAAAAAGAAAAAAAGTTATAGTTACAGTTCTTCACCTTCCACTGTTTTCACATTTCTCTAAATTATAAATCCTATTATGATAACATTATAGTTGCTGTAAATACAGTGAACGTAAAACAGCTATTGCCATTACTGACATGGTCACTACTACCATTATTAATACGGCCCCTGCCAAAACTTGGAAAAATAACCCACAGATAGTAAAAGCCCACTACTCTGAAACTATGTTACATTTTGCTAATCTAGTAAATACTTATTTGTTCTTCTCGGTCATAATAAATACTGATTCTGCTCAATATCCTTGGTAGGAATTTGGTTAATTCTTAATACTTCATCATAGATTTTTTTCCTTTGGACTTCTTTGTACCCATTTGGATGGCTAAACATAAATTAGCTTTGCATAATATATGCTTGTAGTATAAACAGCAATCGTCTGTCTAGTAAAGTAGAAAAGTTACTGTTACCTAGATTATTTGGAACTCAGAAGAATATCTTTATTTAAAAGAAATAGCATTTTCTATTTGCATCTTAAATAAAAACTAACATATTTCCTTCCTTTTCTCTGTTACTAATAACCTAGTGTCAAATTCTGAGACCATTTGCTACTTTCAGCATACAAAAAACAATAGTACATATCACCTTTATCATTTTTGTATTGACATGCACTGTGGTCTCTATACATTATTAATTCAACAGACCTAAAGCTGATGGGTAAGGTAGTGATCTAGAGTTACTTGAATAATCTGATTTTAAACATACAAATCTCATTTAAATCTCACTTGGGACTTTATTACTATAGGTTCTGTTATGAATAAATCTCATTCATTATTTATTCATTATTATGATACATATGTATCATGATTTTTATATATTAATCAGATCGAATAGATTAATCATTAATATATGAAATAGATGAAATTTATGGATAAGGATTTGGAGAACAGATTTCTCAGTGATTTTTCATCAGAAAAATACTGTCATAGGGGCTGGGGATTTAGCTGAGCGGCATAAGCACCTGCCTTGCAAGCAGGCAGTCGTTAGTTCGATCCCTGGTACCGATAAAAATGAAAAAGACAAAAAAAAGTAAAAAAAAAAAAAAAAGAAAAATACTGTCATAATAATGACATATATCTAAGTGCGCCTTTAAAATACATTATTTTCATACATTCATATAACTTTATCATGACCATAATGTGGAAAAATATGATGATTTTGTATTATTCCCACTTGCTAAATGAAGTATTTAATGAGGCTGGGTAATTTTCCCAAAGCCATAGATATTTAAATTCCAATTTTTTGGATTCTGCATGATATGTTTTAGAATTCTTCATGAGTACAACCGTATGTAAGGTACTGTTAAGGACAGAAGTCAGGTGCTATGCCCTTACCTCGCTTGTAGTCACTTCTTAGACTATCATGTTATAAATACTGACAGCTTCTATAAGCAAAGTAAAAATGTTCCAACAAGATTTCTCAGAACTGTACATCCTCCTCCACTGGACTTTATGCTTATTCAAGGACTTTAAGGAGAAAATATTTGCCTTTTCTGTGTGAACATGTTAATGCCATCTATATCTTAAAGCAAAATAGTCACTTCAAACCTTGGTATATATATATATATATATATATATACACATATATATATGGTCAAGAAGATTGTATAAATATGTTTAGATTGTATTTCTTTACTGCAATCTACCTAACAATAATGAAAATGATGGGAGAATCAAATGCAATTGGAGCAGTGATTTCATGGTCAAATCAAATTATTCCCTAGAGTAGTGACTAAAGTACTTAGCCTGGCTGTGCCTCAGTTCCCTAATTTTTTATTAGTACATATTATGGATTGAAAACTGGTGGTCAACTTAATGGCAGCGGAATTAAATCACCAGGCTGCTGAGCAGAGATGTTCCACCTGAGGAAAGTTGCCAGCACAGCGACATGGAGAAGGAGAAGCTATGCCTTGATGTGTTATTGCATTGAGGTGTTGAGGCACTGGGGTTCTCCTACAATTTGCTGTTTGAGCCATTGGTTCTCCTGGAGAAGCTCTGGTCCTCACATCGAGCATTGCTTCCTGGCTCCGGAGGGGAAGACCTGTGCTGCTTGGTCTCCAGGATGAACTCGGCATGCTGGCTTCCTGGCAGGTACTCGACTGTGCTTGTTGGAGGAGGAGCTCGGGGTCCTCCAGATCACTGAGGAAGGCTGGGCTACTTTTCAGGACAGCTCTGTTTTTTGTTGTGAGTGTGACTTCTCGGCTCCAGCTTAGAACCCTCAACCTATCAGCACAGCTCCT